TCTGACCACTGCAATCCATCCCCACTACCCCCACTTGCTTCCAACCCTCTTTACTTCTCACACCAACAGTTGTAATGGTTTACAAAATTTTCCCCTTACTCTATCTAACCTTAAAAAATCACTCCTCAGCACAACTAATGGAATTTGATCTTTAAAACAAAAACCTGATCATAACACTTCTTGCCTCAATCCTTTAACAGCTCTCTGTCACTGATAGCAAACCTCTAAGAACTGGATCCTCTCTACTTTTTATCTTTAGACCTCATTACTCCCCTAAATCATCCCTGAATGTTGCAATTAGTATAAAATTCCATCTATTTCTAAAATGAACATGCTTCCTATTCAATGAATACCTTCCACACAAGGCATTCCCTTACCCTGAAAAGGCTTCCGCATGCTTGTCTCTATTTCCATCTCCCACCACTTAATGAATTCCTAGTTATCTTTCACAATGCAAGAGTAACCTCTGCCACTGATCATGCATATCACTGAGCAGCATCTGCTTGTATAACACAAGTCTGTCCCCAGGAAACTGCTGGTGCAATAAAGTCTGAAGAAGTAGGGCAACCCCTTATCACTTCAGACACACACTTCGCACACAACTGGTACAAGAGCATGTCATTGCATATAAATTAAGTTTAATTGAAGGATAATATCAAACCTATGTTTATTTTTAAATCTCCAATGGCATTGTGAATTAAAGAAAAAAAAATGTTCCAAAGATTAAATGTCTCAAAACACAAGAAAAAGAAAGTTTTTAAAGATTATGGAAAATAGTCAAGAAAAAGGGCTAAAGATGATACATCTGAAGTAAGGAGTGGGAAAGAGAAAAGAAGAATGGCATGATTAATAGCTGCCTCCCAGGAGTTCTAGAAGTGATAAGCTTTCCTCTTTTGCCAAAACGCTAGTAGAAGATCAGGATCATTGCCTTATTTTTCACTTCCTCTGGAGTCCCTAGGAAGTTATAGATACAGTCACTTCTACATGGCATTAACATATTAATCAGGCTCTATTCTTCGCCATTTCCAATTACACTCTTGTCACCACTTGCTTGAAACCCAATCTAATCACTCAGACTTCTCAGGTACTGGGGAAATTAGTCTCCCTGAGAATAAACACCCAAGTAATCCTTCTCCCTTGTTACACTTTAAAACATCACTCCAGGTGTCTAGCTGCTTACCTGCAATCTAGTCTGGAACAGGTTTGCTCTTGATCACTAAATCCCTTGTCACTACTACCTAGAATTGGACTTTCTGGAAACCAGAATCCAGAAAAGGAGGACTAGCTGGAATCTTGCAGCATTCCTCTTTTTCTTTGGGATTTTCCTGTCTGTCCAAAATGATTTCCCTATATGGCTGTCATTTCTTAGTTGTCTACCATAGATATATCCTGGTGCAATTGTCTCTAGAACCTTGGTACCTACTTCAGATTAAACTGGCTTTTATTTATTAACTTATCAACTATCTCAAAGAATTTTCTTTTTCTTCTATTCTGCCTCTTCCTCCTGACTCCCTTCTAATTATTCCTTCTCCCATAATCTCTCTCTCCTTCCCCTCTTTTTCTCACTCTTCCCTCCCCTCCACACACAAATACACACAGAATTAACATATACAGATATCCATTATTTTTCTTTAGCAATTATTAATGTTCACAAAGAACACATTTACATTTAAATGGTGCCAGACCCTTAAGAAAGATATCCTTCCGGATAAAAACATACTTTTGGGAGAAAGAGTATTACCATCAAGAGAAATACCTAGAGATAACATGGTGGAAACAAATTGGGAAGAAAAGAGAAAAATAAGCCAATAAAAGAAAACTCTGTTTCCTTCTTGGCATACTCAGAAGGCATACCGGCCTCTGCTCTGAACATGATGTGTTGCAGAAGAGACAAAATCCAGATTTAGGTTCGTGGTGGTAAAAAATGTAGCTTAATAAAAGCCAGAAGAGCATTTCCACAAAAATAATAAAGAGATGCCAGAGGGCAATGGATACACAAAACAGTATCGAAACTTCCTGATTCTGCTATTGCAAATATAAGTGTAGTTATGTACTTGATCAGTATTTTCTAGATGAAAGTCAGTATCTAACTTCATAATTTTAAAAACTCTTTTTTCTCTAAGAATTGCTAATATAGTATTTTTACCATGCCATTCCTATCCAATTTATCACAAATTATATTCCAAAAATATATGTTTTTTGTTCCTCCTTATATTTTCTTTTAAATCTCCTAAACACCAAGGATTTTTTTTCTTTGAATTCAATTCTGAACCCAATTATAAATTATAATATTATAAATTATAATATTATAAATCTCATCTATATTATCTCTACACACACACCACACACATAAGCAAACACAATTTTGCCCCAAAAGAACTCATACGATTCTAAATGAGTGGAAATTAAGCAGTATCTTTGCCCTGTTTCATGTTTTAAATCTCAGCTTAAGATGTTAACATCCCAAAAGTGTTTGTTGGGGGAAAAAAAGTCCCCTAGCTATTTAGATTGCAATTCACATGTGCATTTTCAAATCTTTTTCATTGTAGTTCCACTCCCTCTTCTAATAACCTGCAAGCTTCACAAAGTCAGGGACCATTTCTTTCTTTCCCCATAACCCATTAGACCAACAAAACATTGTGGAGGTTTAACAATAAATTATTTAATAAGCCAACAAGTATTTTTATTTCTCTGAAAACACACAAGCACATATGACATGAAGGTATTTCAGCAAACATTCTTACCACTCCAAATCCTCCATGTTAATACATAAATTAAGCCAACTGTAACAAAATAGCCAAGTGATAAAAAAAGAAAGTAGTAGAAATCACAGGTGGCAGACACTTATAAAGACACTCCATCCATGATACTGTGAAATGGACCATGTTTTAATTATAAAGTTCTCTATTGCTGTGCAACAACATGACCACAAATTTAGCCCCTTAAAGCAATGCCCATTGATTCTCCCAGAGTTTTTTCAGGATGGAAAAGGCTCAACTGGGTCCTCTGCCTCATGCTATCATAAAGTTCCAATCAGAGTGTCAGCCCAGACTGCACCTCATCTGAGGATGACTGGGGAAGGACCCATTTCCAAGCCCACATGGTAGCTGGCCATATTCAGTTCCTTGTGAGCCCCTGGACTGGAACCTCAGCATCTTGCTGATTCTTGGCTGAGAGCCAACCTCAGTTCCTTGCCACATAGGCCCTCCCAGTAGGGCTGCTTTCCTCCAAGTTAGCAGAGTCTCCTTGCAAAGCAGGTCGATAGCCTGTCTAGCCTAATCACATATTCCACTGCCCTTGTAATCTTCTGTTGGTTAAAAGCGAGCCACAGGCCCTGCCCACACTCAAGGGGAGGGGATCTCAAGGTAGAAAGGTTTGATTAAGTGCCCTCCAAAGGCCCACTTGTTAAAGGTTTGGTTGCCATCCTTTGGGCACTCTTGGGAGGTTATGGGACTTTTAAGAGGTAAGTACTAGTAAGGGAAAGCTAGTTCACTGGCCCTTGAAGGCAATATTGGAGCCCCATATCCTTCCTGCCTCTTTTGCTTCCTGGCTATCACGAGGTGAGCAGTTTTCTCCACTACCCATGCCTGCCATGATGTGCTGCTTCACCATAGGCCCAAAAGCAACAGGGCCAAGCAGCCATGAACTGAAAACTCCAAAATTAAGAACCAAAGTAAACCTTTCTTCCTTATAAGATGATTGACTAATACACAAAGGTAGGAGCACCAGAAGAGAGGAATCAAGGAGGCATCTGTAGTCTGTTCACCACAAACAAATAGTCATTCAGAGCCTGAATTGTTTAAGATTGAGGAAATATTTCTGTTAATAAAGAATATGTCCAACCTCACTGGCTCCCCCAGGGTTTTATGAATAAGAAATTAAAATGGCTTGCACAAGTTGTTTAGGTGGTAATAGTCACCTGGGAGGGATTTTAATGGTGATCCATGACAAGAGAGTATATTAAAGAAATGTGAATGTCTACAGAGCTTTAACAAAGATAGATGGAATAAATGTGGTAGATGATGTAAGTAGCATAAAAAGCAACTAAAGACTCTATGTACAAGAAATCAAAGGGAAACCAAAGGTGCATGTGGGAGAGTGCGTCACATTCCCCGTCCCCATCCTTGTCATGATTCACGGTGGGTGGAGTTTAGCTCCCTGACCCATTGACTTTGGGCTTGGTCCTGGGAGTTGCTCTAACCTATCACATATGGATAAAGTCTCTGAGCAGAAACTGTGAGAGGCATTATGAATTCAAATTTGCAGTCCTGCCATCCACAAGAACAACTCATTCCAGAGTGAGCAGGCATGCCAAGCCCAACAAAGCCTAGAAGAACCATGGTCAACCCTCAGACTTATAAATAATAAAGAAATATTGATTGGGGCTGGGGATGTGGCTCAAGCGGTGGCGCGCTCGCCTGGCATGCGTGCGGCCTGGGTTCAATCCTCAGCACCATATACAAACAAAGATGTTGTGTCCGCCGAAAACTAAAAAATAAATATTAAAAAATCTCTCTCTCTCTCTCTCTCTCTCTCTCTCTCTCTCTCAAAAAAAAAAATAAATAAATATTGATTGACAAAAGTCATTGAATTTAGAGTTGTTGGTTATATAGTGTTGTATCAACAAAATGCTGATGTAGAATTTTTTCACTAACTGATCAATAAAATAGAAGTGACTTAGTATGTTCCCAACAAAACTATGTTTGAAAGTTTTTCCAAGCATCTTTTTACACCACCCCTCTCTGATCTCTAACAACATGGTTTCCTCTTCCTGGAATGACTTGCATTTGGAGTTTTAAGAGGTCACCAAATAACTCCACTCCTCCCCAATTGAGAGGTAGACAGAGAAGTCAAGCACCTTGGCTAAAAGGTGAGAGTCAAAGAGGCCTGATAATATGAAGGCCAGAGATGAGCTACCCACTGAAGCCAGGCAGACAGGCACAAACACAGTCTTTGCTCATGAGGGCAAAACCTTAGTACATTGCAGAGAGTGGACTGACCTGAGCTCTGTCTTCCAAACTCACCAGTCACCTCCTCACATGGTGAGGATCTGGAAAGGAAAACAAGGAGCTTCAGAAAGGTCTTCTGGGTTCCAGAAGCATCACTCTCTCACACCCCAGTATTTTCACAACCTTCTAACTATAGCACTTATTAGGGTTACTTGGTATTCAAGCTATTTATATCTATACCTGCTCCTGCCACTCAATTGTGACTCCCTGAAGAACAGGAACCACAGTTCAATCATTTTAAAATCCCCATGGTACACAGTACCCACAGAAAAACAGGCATCAAGGAAAGGTGTGTGAATTGAATTTTTATGCTCTTTGTTAAAGGTTATTCCTTATCTGTCAATGAGAAATAACTGGAGGCAGGTAAATAAAGTGATATACAGAAAGCAATTGGTAGGTTTTCCTTTTAGGCAAAATTTGGGAAATTCTCAGATTCTCTTGATAGTAGAAAACCAAATGCCCCACACCCAGAGACCTGACACCTCAGACACATGCTTTCCCAGAGCTCTGGATTTGTGCCCAGTTGGGCTCATTTTCTGGCAGCACCTGTTACAATTTACCTTTGAGGTATTAGTTCCACACAACTATAAATGTTGCTGACAAAAATCATAGCTCATATATCAAAGAAGATATAGAATTTTGTGTAGCTAAATTGAGCTCTATATGAGTAATAAGAATTACAATGCATTCTGCTGTTATATATAAATAAAAAATACATAAAAAATAAATAAAACAGATATTAATCTCTGGATGATTTGAATGTAACCTACTCCAAAATACATTCTTAAATTACCTCCCTGATTTTCTGATCCACCACTTGTCATTTTCACATAAATATTGGTACAAGACAGCTTTCCCAGTGTCCAACTTTAAACGAAACAAACCATACATCCATTCAGAGATGAAAAATCATGTAGTCCTTCACACTAAAAAGTATGTTTCTGCTCCAAGAGAAAACAACTGCCAAAATTGAAAATCCCTAAACTCACTAGACAGTGTCTCTTTCTGGGAATAGATTCCAACTTCATAGAAGTGGGCAGTGTTGAAGACAGAGGAGTCGACTCTGTGATTCAAAACATGTATCCAAACAGGAAATGGACTAGAATTAAGAAGTATTGGGCAAAGAGGTACCTGCAGGCAGGTAGGGCTCCACACCCCAATCAGGCTAAATAGCAGCTTTCAGCAAACCACTCAGCAATGCTGATGGAGAGGAGATTGCAGTCTGTAAGAGGTCAAGAAAACTGATCCTCTAGTGCCCACGATCACAAAAATGCCAAAAAGCAGGGACCAAAAACAAAACAAAAAAAAGTTTGTAGAAAATAAGAAAATGTAATAACCCTATCTCTTCCCAAGCATAGGAAAAGGTGAAATGTAGTAAGAACAAAATATTAGCTGTCAAGTTGAGACTCTCAGACCGAATTAAAAACAGTAGCAAATAAGAATGTTGTATACTCTGAACAGGATGCTGCTGTGTTCTGTTTTATAATTCCAAGTATAAGCTCTGTTTGGACATATTTGTTATAGATTTAGTGTTATGGTTCAGATAGGAGGTGACCCCAAAAGCTCATGTGTGAGAAAATGCAAGGATTTTCAGAGGTGAAATGATTAGATTATGAGAGCTGCAGCCTAATCAGTGGATTAATCCAATGATGGATTAACTGAGTGGTAACTATAGGCAGGTAGGATGTTCCTGGGGGAGGTGGGCAGGCATGCCTTCAGGGTTTATATTTTGTCCCAGGTGAGCAGAGCTCTCTCTGCTTCCTGGTGGCCATACTCCACCATGCTCTTCTGCCATGATGTTCTGCCTCACCACAAGCCCAGAGGTATGGAGTCAGCTATCTATGGACTGAGACCTGTGAGCCATGAGTCCCAAATAAACTTTCCCTCCTCTATGTTGGTCTTGTCCGGTCTTTTGGTGATAAAAAAAAAAAACCTGAGGGACACAATTAGAATCACAAAGTGTCAGCCCTGTGGGGGACCTCAGAGATCAGTCAGGACACCTTCCAGCCCACCCCTCTCCAGTGTGGCCACACAGGGTTTCAAGAGAGCTAAAGCCCAAAGAAAGATGGGACTTATCTTCTGGCTGACTAATTTTACAGTTGAGCTAAAAGATTCCTCAAACTTAAAAGTTCAACTTCATTGGAGAAAGACTAATGTTGTTACTAAATGCTCCAAATGTGGAGCCAGAAAGAGGTGGTTGGCAATTCTGGCTCTGCCATTCATTAGTGGTTGGTGTGAACTTGAGTAAAACATTCAGCTTCAGTTACCTTGGATGTGAGATGGAAATAACATCTTCCTCATAGTGTATGATATTTTAAAATCATCATTAGAAAATGATTAGTGTGTTGCTTAGCACATCTCTAACTATTATTTTTATTCACTACCCTTTCACAACAAATGTAGGATGAGGTGCCTTGCTGGCTCAGCTGGGTGCCCTCTGTGATCAGGCAGGCCTTTCAGTTGTCCTTGGAAGGGACAAAATTTTACCCTCTGCTCACTCCACATACAGGCTCTTCTGAACCCCCATCACACATCACATCACCCCGGTGTTCTTTTAACACTCATTCCCATTTCTTCTCCCATCCTGTAAAAATAGTTGACAACACACATCCTATCTCTCCACCGTTTCTCTTTTTCTTCCGTTTCACCTTCTAAACATACCTCGCTTAGTGCTGTTCCCTTTTGCCACATAGGCTGGCCATCCTTTTCTACCCTATTCAGAACCTTATTCCCATCTTCAGCCCATTCTCTTATGTCCTCAGCCTCTCACACACACCCCTTCTTCCTTTCCTTCCTTCCTTAGGAAAACAAACTAAACCTCTTGCAGTCTAGGAAAAATGACCACAGTTAACTCCGTTCCTATGAAAATACACACTTCTTCTACATCTTGTTTTAGTTTGTTGGTGATGGGATTTATTTATTCTGCCAGTTGTCTTCTAAGGATAAGCTGCTTTGGTTCCTCATCTTCCCTCGGCTTTGTTGATAATCTCTTCTCTCCACCCCTGTAAAGGTGAAGGTCCTACCGGAGAGCACCAGAGACCTCCTAATTGTCAGACCCAAAGTCTTGTTTAACTCCACACCCTCCTGGGCCTCGTGGCAGCAGTGAGCACCGCTGGTTCCCACCCCTCTGTGATGTTTTCTGTCCCTTCATCCTCCCCAACACCTGCCTTCCCTTCTCTCCTCTCCCTCCTCCTCCTTCTCCTCTTCCTCCTCTGCCGAAGTCTGGCTGGGCACAAATGCCGCAGTCTGGCTGGGCACACAATCAGGAGCCACCACACAGCTTGTAGATTCAAACAGCAACTCTTTATTCCCGAACTCACACCAGCCGTCTACAATCACGTTCTGGGGAAATCCACGTTCTCTGCCCAAATCCACGTTCTCTGCCCAAATCCACCTCCACTGGGCTTCTATCTCCCAAATATATTGTCTAAATCCCGTGAGAACTCAAGGGGAACTCAGGCAGCAGGATACGCCCTATTCCCAGCAGGAATAATCTTAAACCTTAAACCTGGAACCTAAACTGGGAACGCCCTAAACATGATTATCTTAAACCGGGAACACCCTAATCTGCCTTGGTCCTTGAGCAAGGTCACTTACATTCAATGTCACTGCAACATGTCAGCAACATGGGGTACGCTGGCAAGGAAACTGTCATACCTACTTGGCTAATGGCTCCCAGCACTCCTCCTTTTTCTTCTTTCTCTCTCTCTCTCCCTCCCTCTCCCTCTCCCCCATCCCCCACTTGCTTTTTTAATCATCATTTTTTGGTTATTGTTTCTGTTCCCCTCCTCACTCTGCCAGTGTTGCTTATAATAAGAATTCCATCTTTGCTCCTCTTCTCCTGTATTTACCTGCTTTGCTTTTTTCCTGCCTCTATATACCCTCCATTCATCAATCTCTTCCAGTGCTTCTCACTTATATTCTAGCTCCACCCAGCATCTCTAAAGCACCTCGGACCTAAAACATGCACAAAACATATTTCTGCTCTCATTCCAATCCTATTCCAATCCTCTGTTAATGGAGCCTATTCTGGAGCCAAAGAGAATCTCACTTCCCTTTTCCTGCAGCTCACCTCTATTCCACAGCCAACCAGTCCCTACGTCCTGCTGGTTCAGCTTCACAAACAGCCTCCTCCGCTCCAGACCCTCTACTCCACTCCCATGGTCATGGCTTTAGTGGGTTCTCCTCATCTCAGTAGGTTATTGGAAGTCGTCTCCATCGTGGTTTTAACAGACCATGGTTCCCTCACTTCCGTACAACCTCTGTACACGAACCAGAGCTAGAAACAAATATGAACATAAATCTCTGTTGGGGCCTAAACTGAAATATAAAGTCCACCTCCCACAAACTGACTCAGGTATCTTGTCAGGATCCAGCCCCGTCCACCTCTCTGTCCCCGTCTCACCTCATTTTCCCCACACATTGACTGGCCACTCTTAATATCTCACCATTCCTAGGCACACTGCTGTGAAGAGCTGTGACAGTGACTGGGAGAGCAGTGTCTGAGACTGGGGTCCCTGATGACTTCATGGCTGTGGCATACTTGGTGACTGGGAAAGTTTCTTCTGTGCAAGGTCATAGGATGCCCAGTTGCTATGGAGATGTCCTCCATGCTAGGGTCTTATCAGCTTCGACCTTATTCTGAGGCAGAGCAGTTCCTGGAAATGAGGGATTTTCCTTGCTAAGATAACCACAATGTTTCACCAGTTCCGCTGCTCCTGGATCAGCCCGCGAATTGGTAACTTTAAACAATGGACTTTCTCAGGAGCTGCACCATGCTCCTAACACTGCACATTCTAGTAACTGAGAAAATAGCTGCATATTGTTGCTAACTCTATAACATTCATGAATACAAAGAATAATGCTTGCATAATCTTTAATCTGATTAAGAGACATATATAATAAAGACAGCTGATGTCATTCTTTAGATCTGCTTCTCCATCAGAGAGCAGCGCTGCGCCTGACCCCAGCTTGATCTTCAAGATCTGTGTATGCGAATCTTAGTTTTTCCAGTCTCCCATCACCCCTCACCAGAACCTGCTGGTTTGGCCATGCTGATCATGACACACTGCCCTTTCACAAACTCTCTATATGCCAGTTCCATTGTCATTCCCCTCATTCTTTTCCTGTTACCACCTTCAGCAGCCATCTCAAATGTCACCCTGCGAGGCATCCCCAGAGAGCCCCAGCACCTCTGATCAGAGTTCTGATGTACTGGCCTTGTGACAAAACATTTTCATGCACCTATCTTTACAGTAGCACAGTCAGTCCTTAATGGCAGGCATTACCCCTTGTCATCTTCGATTCTGGCACCTATTAGAAAGCCCCATTATACAACAAGATCGAATAAGTGATTACAGGACAAATGAAAGCCTACACAGTGGGACGTAGCCAATGCTGACTGCTACCTGTATTGCTCTCTCAATTGCATTGATGTAAAATTGCATTCGTTTATAGCCGACAATTAAATGACAAAGTAGCGAAATCGATTGCTCCAATAACAAAAGAGCAACTTCCCCATCAGAAAATTTTTGTGACATCAACAGTAGTGGTAGGTGGTGGAGGGAAATGGGAGTGCAGCACGTCCAGGCAGACATGGCCTCAGCCCACGGCTGCAGAGCAGCACGAGAAGGCATCCACACAGGCCCTACCTGTGTAGGTCAGCTTCCCATCACTATGACAAATGCCTGAGATGATGTAAAAGGAGGAAAGGTTTGTCTGCTAGTTCCAGACATTTCAGTTCATGGTTACTTAGCCATATACAGGTGGCAGCACGGTATATCATGGTGGGAACAGATGGCAGAGGAGGCCCATTCACCTCATGGTGTCTGAGAAGCAGAGAGAGAAGGGAAGGAGCCAGGGTCCCAATATCCCCTTTAAGGGCATGCTCCCAACCACCTAACTTCCACCAATGAGGCTGCACCTCCTTAAGTGCCATAGGATAGGGACCAAGGCTTTAGCACATGTGTCTTCAGATCTGAACTCAGGCACTCCACTCCTACCCTGCAAAGGGGTTCAGGAGAAACTACATCATACCAATAAATGTGGAGAGGGCATAAAGTCAGGCAAAGAATGCGTGACTTGATATCATTCTTATGCTAAAAATATACTTTTATGCCAAAAGAAAGCTAGATATTCCAGAAGGTCAGCAGAAACCAGAAAGGAAGGTACACTTTTCAGCAAATCATAGTGTGGGCAGCTGACTACAGTTTCTAACCAAGGACTCTCCCCTGCCATCCCTTTAGAATTTAAGATCAACCCCGGGGAGGAGGGAAGGGGAGGGGAGCGGAGAGGAGAGGAGGGGAGGGGAGGGGAGAGGAGGGAACACTGAAATGATGGACCAAACTCTGGGTTATTGAAGGAGATGCTGCACTTGGCAAGGTAGATTATTTTACACTGAAAACGTGAAAGCAGGAGATAGAAATTATTCTGCTACAGAGAAATGATTTTGCATTTTTGTTCATGTGAAGTCGTGAAATGAGAGACATTCCATCTGCTACATAAAGTATATACGTTTTTCCATTCCAAAAGCTCTTCTCCCCCATTGTAGGAGGGGCAACACTCCCCTTTTCCCCTGTATCTACCTCTGGCTTCCCTCTTTGATTTTTTTTCCTTCCATTCTAATTGGTGATCTTCCTGAAAGGAAGCTCACTGCCTCCTCCTTGCTTTCTATTCACGCCTCAATCACCAGCCTTCAGGGTTAATCCCCACCACCTCTCCGGAAATCCTCTAATGCAGGTCCCCATTAACCCAGGAGACGCTGATGGACCTGCTCAAGTTCTTGTTTTATTACAACTTTAGATTTCATTAGGCACCAGATCCCTTTTCCCTCCTTGAATCCCTCAGTCCCCTTGATTTTCCTGACATCCTTCCTACCTTTCTGATTCTTCTCTTTTGTGTGCTCTAGCTCCTCTTTCCACACCAATAATAATGGAGTTCTGTCTTTAGCCTGTGTTTTCTCTCCTTATGTACGACTCTCCCCAGGCTATCTCACCCACTCTCATCAACTACTGACGGTAGCACTGTATCTCCGAGAACTGACTGCACTTCACCCTCTAATGCTCAGATGCCAGATAGCACAGAGCTTCCTCAAGCTCAATGCAAGCACCGTAAAATCCATGCCTTTCACACTTCCTGGTCCACATGTCTCCTCCCCATGTGAATCATCCAGTTCTATCAATGGCTACACTTTCACCTAGCTCCCCTGTGCACAAACCTGAGCCTTTCGCTGGCTTCTCTCTCTCTCTCCTTAACCCCCACCCCACATTCACCAATCATCAAGTACTGCCAATCTCATATCTCAATTATTTCTCGAAAGTGTCTCCCTCAAGTGAACAGACACTTCACAGAAGAGGATATACAGTTGATCAACAAATATCTGAAAAAATGTTCAACGTCTCTAGCAATTAGAGAACTACAAATCAAAACTACTCTAGGATTTCATCTCACTCCAATCGGAATGGCAATTTTCAAGAATACAAGCAATAATAAGTGTTGGCGAGGATGTGGGGGAAAAGGAACACTCATATATTGTTGAAGTCACTGCAAATTGATGCAACCCCTCTGGAAGTATGGAGATTCCTTAGAAAACTTGGAATGGAACCACCATTTGACCCAGCTATCCCACTCCTTGGTTTAATGCAAAGGACTTAAAATCAGCATACTAGAGTGACACAGCCACATCAATTTTTTTAGAAGCTCAATTCACAATAGCTAAACTGTGGAACCACCCTAGATGCCCTTCAATAGATGAATAAATAAAGAAACTGTGGTATAAATACACAATGGAATATTACTCAGTCTTAAAGAAGAATGAAATTATGGCATTTGTAGGAAAATGGATGAAGTTGTAGAAATCATGCTAAGCAAAATAAGTCAATCCCCAAAACCCAAAGGCCAAATGTTTTCTCTTATATATGGATGCTGATCCATAATGGGGGGGGGGCAGGGGGCAAGGGAAGAATGAAAGAACTTTGGATTGGACAGAGGGGAATGAGGGGAGGGAAGGGTGTATAGGGGTGGGAAAGATAGTGTAATGAGTTGGACATGATTATCCTATGTACACATATGATTGCACAAATGGTGTGACTCTGCATCATGTACAACCACAGAAATAAAAGTTGTGCTCCATCTGTATATAATGAGTCGAAATGCATTCTGCTGTCATGTATAATTAATTAGAACAAATAATAATAATAATAATAATAATAATAATAATAATAATAATAAAAAGTATCTCCCTCTTCCTCATCTCTGCTACTATTGCCCTAACCTCAACAGTTAAAATAGCCTCCAACTTGCCAGGTACAGAGGCACATGCCTATAATCCCAGCTGAGGATTAAAGGGAGGCTGAGGCAAGAGGATTTTGAGTTCAAAGTCAGCCTCAGCAAAAGCAAGGCGCTAAGCAACTCAGTGAGACCGTGTTTCTAAATAAAATACAAAATAGGGCTGAGGATGTGGCTCAGTGTTTGAGTGCCCCTGAGTTCCCTAGTATCCAAAAACAAAATAGCCTACAACTTAACCTATCTGCGCTCAGTATTGCCCACCTTGAATCTCTCCTCACTACTTCGCAGGAGGGAAAACTGAACTGTGACATTCTTCTTCTCTTTGCCTGCAGGATCAAATCTCTGCTCTTTGCTTTTCTCTAACCTACCTCCTTTCTGTCACTTCCCACCAATTCCTACTTCCCACTATACATGCCAACAAGACCAAATAGCTTGCATTTTCTCATATACATCATGTAGTTCCATTCTCTGGGGATTTGATTGTTATTTCCTCTGCCTGAAACATCAACCGTACCTTTATTTACCTGTCCATCTTCTATGTATTTTTCAACTATTATGCATCCTAAGACTCAGCTTAAAATCATCTCCACAAAGTCTTCCTTGTGCACTTCAGTAGATTAAGTACCTGTCTCTCATGTTTTCATAACTCACCACACTGCCAATAATGGTGGAACTAAAATGTCTTTTGCAAGACTCCCTTCCCCACTGGACACTAAGCTGCTCAAGTCAAAGAAATATCTTATTCTTTATATTCTCAGAAATTTGCTTAAGTTCCCAGCACAGAGGAAGTGCCCACAAGTGACAACCAACTTACTATTACCATACAACTCAAATCTCCAACTAATTTTTCATTCCATCCAATCTAACAAGATTTATGGAGTGACGATTACATTTCAGGACAGGACTGAGTTATAAGATAAAAAATAGTTTATATTTGCATACTTTTTTTCCATTTTTAAAGTGCTTTTATACATTTAATTATTTTTATTCCATTTCCATGCCAAATGGAAGCTAGATATGCCAGGAGACAAACTCATGAAATAATCCCTCAAAGTCTGATATCATGAGCCAGGGAAGTTAAACTTACCTACAGTTAAATGTTCTCGAGATAAAGCCAAATAAAAGGATGGAAAATCCCCCACTAGACAGGAAAAGGCCTTTATTCATTCAATTCAGGTGTAACAGTGAAATATCACTCACCACCATCATGCATGTAATTCTTGTCTTCAATCCCTGACCACTGATGTTTTCTAGCAGAGAAGG